TTAGGCCTGTCAAGAATCATTGTGGGCAGTTTGGCTTTACGGCCCTAAAAAAGAAAAAGTGCAAACACCAAAAGAGCAGAGAGAGACACACACGCACAAACAAAGTTAAATGCTTTTGTTTACATGGTGTAATTGTGTATATGTTGCAGCAAATGCACAACTTCCAGCCACATTGTCACTTCATTGATACGAGTAACCCGGATTTATTTCAGGTGACATCAAAATCACGAAATGTATACCTACCCCAATCAAACCTCTGAAAACATGAACTGACATGTTCTCTGCGTTGATTCTGCGCTTGATCTCGTCTTCTGTTATTGTGTAGGTTTTCTTTTTTGAGCTTGGTACAGATAAGCGACCATGCACTCTGTAAACTGTACTAGTTCCTTCTGAATCAGTTTGGAATTCTGTATCTGCATCGATCCTGTCAAGATCAGCAGCAGCAGCATTATCTGTACTCAGACTTGTGCCGTATACTTTCTTTTTCTTTGTCTTCAGTCTGTGTACCTTCATCTCTTTCAGTCTGTGTACCTTCATCTCTTTCCGTCTGTGTGCCTTCATCTCTTTCAGTCTGTGTACCTTCATCTCTTTCAGTCTGTGTGCCTTCATCTCTTTCAGTCTGTGTACCTTCATCTCTTTCCGTCTGTGTACCTTCATCTCTTTCAGTCTGTGTGCCTTCATCTCTTTCAGTCTGTGTACCTTCATCTCTTTCAGTCTGTGTGCCTTCATCTCTTTCAGTCTGTGTACCTTCATCTCTTTCAGTCTGTGTACCTTCATCTCTTTCAGTCTGTGTACCTTCATCTCTTTCAGTCTGTGTACCTTCATCTCTTTCAGTCTGTGTGCCTTCATCTCTTTCAGTCTGTGTACCTTCATCTCTGACTGTCAGTCCTCCTATCTCACTGTTACTTGTCGGTTTGCTGCAGATGTTCTCTCCCTTAGGAACTTTTCCTTTGTCATTCGCTGCCTGATGCTTTCCCTGATGACATTCTTCACTGGCTACTTCTATTGCTCCTCCTGTATAGTCACCTACTATGCTGCACAACTCCTTTCCCTCTGCTGTGCTGCACTGTGCTGTTACATAACGAAGAATGATATAAACAGCACTATATCAATTTAATTGTGAAGAGAAATCCCCACAATACGACACAGTTATGTCTAAAATAGTTTTGTGTAAAAACTGGATCTTGAAACGTCCACTTTAATTACACAGTCCGGGTGTGCAAAGGCAAAATTACGAAATTTTTTTCACTTTAAACATTTTTGGACATTGTTTAGTTATATTGTGACTTACTCTCACAGAAGATACAGATGCCACAAACAGACTTTGAACAACATGTGCTTGTATGCACCACATTTCTGGCACTGCACCTGTGAATTAAAAAAAAGAAAAAAAAGAAGAAGAAATAAACAAACAAAAAACAAATGAACAAAGTCCATTAAATAAACAATCTATATGGCTAAGGACATGTCATAGTGTACCCGGTCTTTGGCTGCAATCACACACCAGCACTGACTGCACTTCCTAGTTCGATCTGCAAAATATAATTTGTTTAAGTACAAGTTACATTTTCCAATGTTAGAGAAAAAGAAGGCGGCTAATTTTATCTTTACCTATTGAGGAAAATAAGTAGTGGCAAAGTCGGGACCTGAGCTTTGTGATTTCAGTGTTGTACTCCTCCACTTGTGTTTTACCCTCAATGAGAGATTGGGCAAACTAATAATTGACGAAGAAGAAAAAAAAAAAAAAAAAGAACAAAAAGAATTAGATTAACAAAGAAATGTTTGTTTGTTTTTAACCCCCCCGAGAAAAAAAAAAAAAACAGAGCAACCAAAGCAAAGCATTACTGCTGAAATGGTTCAATCTACAAAAAAAATTGAGATTTTACCATCCTGCCTCTAAGGCTTTAAAAACTGAATAGGCAAAAATGTAAACATTACTTATATAGGTTAAAGCTATAGTTTTCAGTACCATTATGACATGCACTCCACATGAGTTCCCATCCTGTTGATGTGGGTGGCTCACATGTGACAAGGTCCACTCTCCAGCGCAGCCTCTTGCTGAAGCAAATGAGCTGAGAGATCGCAGTTATTACAAATAAAAAGCATATAGAGAAATCAATAACCACGTTCGGTAATGATTTCAATTAAATTAAATATGTTATGTTAAATATGTTAATTAATTACCTCCAGTTTTTCAACACCGCACTTTTTCTGACCTCCGACTCGCCAAATGAATTCATATAGACTATGGTCCTCTTGGGTATGTCACAAAATTGTTTTGTAAAAAGATGGATATGGTAGGCTTGGGCCTTGAGCTTTCCTAATGAGGGACACTGAAAAGTATCATGCACTAGAGAGAGTGCAAAATCTGTGCAACTTACAAACAAGGTCCAGTGGCTGCCGTTTTCCAGACAGGCTCCAATCAATTTCTCATACATCTGAAAGATGTTTTTCTGGAAATAAAAAGAATGTGACAAGTATGTTTTTCTGTCAAGAATGACACTGCAAAACTGCAAAAGCTTGTCAGGTGAGACTTGTAATTAATTCTGCAGATACACAAACATATAGAAAGTGTCATTTTTGGTTTACATTAATTAATTTCTATAGTGTGTACAAAACAAATCAAGACCACAGACTCAACACGCACCACTCAATTTTTGGTGTTCTTTATCAGTTGGCCAAGACAGAAATGTTTTAATCTGTGTGCATTGCTTTTGAACAAGTCTTTACACAGAAAAGGTTTCAGAAAGGTGTTTTTCAGGTTCTTCTGACAAGGCTTCAATTTTGGAAAATGCTGTTTGTTTATAGTGGCAACTTATAAACCCTTTGTGATAAGAACATAGTTACCACAGTCCAAGTCATACCTTCAAAAAGTATGCACTTTGTTACACGATGTCCCAGGAACGACATTTACACGATGTCACAGGAACGACATTTACGCGATGTCCCAGGAACGACATTTACGCGATGTCCCAGGAACGACATTTACACGATGGCCCAGGAACGACATTTACACGATGTCCCAGGAACAACATTTACACGATGGCCCAGGAACGACATTTACACGATGTCCCAGGGACGACATTTACGCGATGTCCCAGGAACGACATTTACACGATGTCCCAGGAACGACATTTACGCAATGTCCCAGGAACGACATTTACACGATGTCCCAGGGACGACATTTACGCGATGTCCCAGGAACGACATTTACGCGATGTCCCAGGAACGACATTTACACGATGGCCCAGGAACGACATTTACGCGATGGAACGGGACGATCTGATTTCCTCGTGTCAGCCTGTCCGCCGAATTTGAAGTCAATTTAGGATACTTTCCTTTAATAAACGGTAAGCATTATACATATGTTCCTCACTTGGCTTGCTGTTTGTTTGCTAGCGATAGGCTACTTGACGACAGCATTAGCTAACCAGTGTTCTCTAGACCAGCGTTCCCCAACTTTTTTGGTGTTTCGTGGCCCGGGGGTTGGGTCAGGCAAAATTGCAGTAGCTTCCCTGATCATTTTACAAACATAAGTGAAGAGAATCTGGACTAAAAGGCCTAGACTTATGGTTGTGTGCTGAATCTATGAATCAAACTATCACCTGGAAACATAATTAACTGGTCCATAGCTGTGAAACTGGACATGAGTTCTTGATTCTATGGAGATTAACAGTAATCCAGAAATTTACAAATTTGTCCTGGTACATCGCGTAAATGTTGTCCCTGGGACATCATGTAGAAGTTGCCCTGGGACATCGTGTAGATGTTGTCCCTGGGACATTGTGTAAATGTTGTCCCTGGGACATTGTGTAAATGTTGTCCCTGGGACATCATGTAGAATTTGCCCTGGGACATCGTGTAGATGTTGTCCCTGGGACATCGTGTAAATGTTGTCCCTGGGACATCGTGTAAATGTTGTCCCTGGGACATCGTGTAGATGTTGTCCCTGGGACATCGTGTAAATGTTGTCCCTGGGACATTGTGTAGAATTTGCCCTGGGACATCATGTAGATGTTGTCCCTGGGACATCGTGTAAATGTTGTCCCTGGGACATCATGTAGAATTTGCCCTGGGACATCGTGTAGATGTTGTCCCTGGGACATCGTGTAAATGTTGTCCCTGGGACATCGTGTAATTGTTGTCCCTGGGACATTGTGTAATTGTTGTCCCTGGGACATCGTGTAAATGTTGTCCCTGGGACATTGTGTAATTGTTGTCCCTGGGACATCGTGTAGATGTTGTCCCTGGGACATCGTGTAAATGTTGTTCCTGGGACATCGTGTAAATGTCGTCCCTGGGACATCGTGTAAATGTCGTTCCTGGGACATTGCGTAAATGTCGTTCCTGGGACATCGTGTAAATGTCGTTCCTGGGACATCGTGTAACAAAGTGCATACTTTTTGAAGGTATGACTTGGACTGTGGTAACTATGTTCTTATCACAAAGGGTTTATAAGTTGCCACTATAAACAAACAGCATTTTCCAAAATTGAAGCCTTGTCAGAAGAACCTGAAAAACACCTTTCTGAAACCTTTTCTGTGTAAAGACTTGCTCAAAAGCAATGCACACAGATTAAAACATTTCTGTCTTGGCCAACTGATAAAGAACACCAAAAATTGAGTGGTGCGTGTTGAGTCTGTGGTCTTGATTTGTTTTGTACACACTATAGAAATTAATTAATGTAAACCAAAAATGACACTTTCTATATGTTTGTGTATCTGCAGAATTAATCACAAGTCTCACCTGACAAGCTTTTGCAGTTTTGCAGTGTCATTCTTGACAGAAAAACATACTTGTCACATTCTTTTTATTTCCAGAAAAACATCTTTCAGATGTATGAGAAATTGATTGGAGCCTGTCTGGAAAACGGCAGCCACTGGACCTTGTTTGTAAGTTGCACAGATTTTGCACTCTCTCTAGTGCATGATACTTTTCAGTGTCCCTCATTAGGAAAGCTCAAGGCCCAAGCCTACCATATCCATCTTTTTACAAAACAGTTTTGTGACATACCCTAGAGGACCATAGTCTATATGAATTCATTTGGCGAGTCGGAGGTCAGAAAAAGTGCGGTGTTGAAAAACTGGAGGTAATTAATTAACATATTTAACATAACATATTTAATTTAATTGAAATCATTACCGAACGTGGTTATTGATTTCTCTATATGCTTTTTATTTGTAATAACTGCGATCTCTCAGCTCATTTGCTTCAGCAAGAGGCTGCGCTGGAGAGTGGACCTTGTCACATGTGAGCCACCCACATCAACAGGATGGGAACTCATGTGGAGTGCATGTCATAATGGTACTGAAAACTATAGCTTTAACCTATATAAGTAATGTTTACATTTTTGCCTATTCAGTTTTTAAAGCCTTAGAGGCAGGATGGTAAAATCTCAATTTTTTTTGTAGATTGAACCATTTCAGCAGTAATGCTTTGCTTTGGTTGCTCTGTTTTTTTTTTTTTTTCTCGGGGGGGTTAAAAACAAACAAACATTTCTTTGTTAATCTAATTCTTTTTGTTCTTTTTTTTTTTTTTTTTCCTCGGGGGGGGGGTAAAAACAAACAAACGTTTCTTTGTTAATCTAATTCTTTTTGTTCTTTTTTTTTTTTTTTTTTTTTCTTCGTCAATTATTAGTTTGCCCAATCTCTCATTGACGGTAAAACACAAGTGGAGGAGTACAACACTGAAATCACAAAGCTCAGGTCCCGACTTTGCCACTACTTATTTTCCTCAATAGGTAAAGATAAAATTAGCCGCCTTCTTTTTCTCTAACATTGGAAAATGTAACTTGTACTTAAACAAATTATATTTTGCAGATCGAACTAGGAAGTGCAGTCAGTGCTGGTGTGTGATTGCAGCCAAAGACCGGGTACACTATGACATGTCCTTAGCCATATAGATTGTTTATTTAATGGACTTTGTTCATTTGTTTTTTGTTTGTTTATTTCTTCTTCTTTTTTTTCTTTTTTTTAATTCACAGGTGCAGTGCCAGAAATGTGGTGCATACAAGCACATGTTGTTCAAAGTCTGTTTGTGGCATCTGTATCTTCTGTGAGAGTAAGTCACAATATAACTAAACAATGTCCAAAAATGTTTAAAGTGAAAAAAATTTCGTAATTTTGCCTTTGCACACCAGGACTGTGTTATTAAAGTGGACGTTTCAAGATCCAGTTTTTACACAAAACTATTTTAGACATAACTGTGTCGTATTGTGGGGATTTCCCAACACAATTAAATTGATATAGTGCTGTTTATATCATTCTTCGTTATGTAACAGCACAGTGCAGCACAGCAGAGGGAAAGGAGTTGTGCAGCATAGTAGGTGACTATACAGGAGGAGCAATAGAAGTAGCCAGTGAAGAATGTCATCAGGGAAAGCATCAGGCAGCGAATGACAAAGGAAAAGTTCCTAAGGGAGAGAACATCTGCAGCAAACCGACAAGTAACAGTGAGATAGGAAGACTGACAGTCAGAGATGAAGGCACACAGACTGAAAGAGATGAAGGTACACAGACTGAAAGAGATGAAGGTACACAGACTGAAAGAGATGAAGGCACACAGACTGAAAGAGATGAAGGCACACAGACTGAAAGAGATGAAGGTACACAGACTGAAAGAGATGAAGGTCCACAGACTGAAAGAGATGAAGGCACACAGACTGAAAGAGATGAAGGTACACAGACTGAAAGAGATGAAGGTACACAGACTGAAAGAGATGAAGGTACACAGACGGAAAGAGATGAAGGCACACAGACTGAAAGAGATGAAGGTACACAGACTGAAGACAAAGAAAAAGAAAGTATACGGCACAAGTCTGAGTACAGATAATGCTGCTGCTGATGATCTTGACAGGATCGATGCAGATGCAGAATTTCAAACTGATTCAGAAGGAACTAGTACAGTTTACAGAGTGCATGGTCGCTTATCTGTACCAAGCTCAAAAAAGAAAACCTACACAATAACAGAAGACGAGATCAAGCGCAGAATCAACGCAGAGAACATGTCAGTTCATGTTTTCAGAGGTTTGATTGGGGTAGGTATACATTTCGTGATTTTGATGTCACCTGAAATAAATCCGGGTTACTCGTATCAATGAAGTGACAATGTGGCTGGAAATTGTGCATTTGCTGCAACATATACACAATTACACCATGTAAACAAAAGCATTTAACTTTGTGCGCGTGTGTGTGTCTCTCTCTGCTCTTTTGGTGTTTGCACTTTTTCTTTTTTAGGGCCGTAAAGCCAAACTGCCCGCAATGATTCTTGACAGGCCTAAGAAGGCCAAAACTAAAGTAACAGTGTTTAGTGTTCTGAGTGAAGAGGAGGCTGGGGAGCTAGCCCTCGGGTTTGCCGGAAGATTGGCCTGCGATGTCACAACAGACATGGTCTGTAAAGGCATCGACCATTCAAGTGCTGATATGACAAAGTAAGTTAGTAAAACAATATGAAAGTTGTATCTTTTTTGGTATTATTTGTCATTTCCCCGTGTTTGGGTTATTGGTGTAACATTGTTAATCTTACTTTCTAATAACAGACAGACTCTTCTCAAAATCCAACACAACCTTAAACATGAGCTGACTGATTCCTCAACCTTCAGTTTGCTGACACACACCTTTGGCCCCGCTGCACTGGATTCTGTCATTTCATTCCTGTGTGAAAAACTTGATCTTGTTTCTTAAATAATGAAACCTTTTGTTTGTTCTGTAAATCAGAATCTTGAAAATTGTTCATTGTTGTTCTAAGTTTGTGTTAACTATTTGGCAAAAATGATTGGTTCCTAATCCAAACAGCATAATGACTGTTCTAACACATATCTTAAAAATGCTACAAAGAAAGAAAATTATCACATATGTTTCAATATGAATGTAATTGTGTCACACTCGGTTTGTAGTAGCTTTCCTGTTTTATTTTGAGTTTTGGTATGTTTACACTGTTATTTTTATTTCCCGTGTGTTCGTCTTCCCTTATTAGTTTTACTGTATTTAATTAGTCTGATTTAATAACTTATAATTATTGGAGAGAGAGACAGAGGAGCAGCTGTACAAAAAGCATAAAAGAAAGCTGACGTCCAAAAATAACTTTGTCACTCACTGGACAAGAGGACCTGTGCATTACAGAAATCAACCAGGCAAACATATTTTTAAATGTCAAAAAGAGCTTTGGGAAGCAGCCACCAGAAGATGAGTGCACTGTGGTCTTAAATGGATGGACATAGTCACTCAACATTTTATCCCTTTATATTCATTAACCTGAGTAGGTGAATATCACAATGAGGCAAATCATAACAACAGGACCCTGTTGTAAAAATGTGTTTCAGGTGCATCTTAGACAACGTGAAAAGAAAACAATGTGGTTTACCTGCAAGACATGGTACCAGCATAGAAGGATAGCTGACTCTGGAAAAACCTTCTGCAAAGCATTTATTTCCGCAAAGTCTTTGTCAACCATAAATGCTCTACAGAAAAAAAGAAAACACTAAATGAGATTAAACAGTATGAAAATGTTTTTGCTATCTCAAAGCACCACTTCAATGCCAAATTAAACATTTCAACTCACAAGTAGATATATCTTTTATTGCTCAATGTTCCATTTGCCAGAACTGAACTGGGAAAGAGGGCTTTTACTTATGCTGCCCCTTTCACATGGAACATGATGCAAAAAGACTGGAAGATAGCAGATCTTATTTCATTAAATGCTTTTAAGTCCAGATTGAGAGAGCCAGAGAAAAATGTTTTTAAAATGTAATTGTTATTTATAATATGTATGTAACTTTGTAATTTCAACGTGTTGTCGCCTCTTGGCCAGGACTCCCTTGCAAAAGAGGTTTTTAATCTCAATGGGACTTTTCCTGGTTAAATAAAGGTTAATAATAATAAATATAAAATACTGCATACAGCCTATAGGAATAGCTTTAACAACTGGAAAGGAAAGTTTTTTGCAGCCCATGCTGCAGCTATAGCATTAGATTCTGGCATGTTATAACTTTTTTGAAAAGGAATTATTTCAAAATTAATAGCTGTCAATGTATTATTTACCTCGGGGAAGTTGGGAAATGCTCACAAACTATTCCAAGAACAGTTTCCAGGGTTTTCTGACTTTCGTTGCTGACAATAGCATAGGCCACAGGGACTCCATGCCCATGATCATCTCTTACAACAAGTGTGAATAAGGGAAATGAATACTGGTTAACGCAGTGCGTGGTGTCAACAAATACTAACTGTTTTGCATAGTTCTCCATGTTTGATTTCATTACAGGTGTCTGCAAAACAATCATTAGTTCTTGGTCAGATGTGTATGGTTGATAGAAGAGAACATGTTCTTGATGTTTTCCATTAAGTAAGGTATGTACACATTGACTGTCTCCACAGTTAAAGTGCTTCTTCCTCATCATGCAGGTTCTAACACTGTCAATGTCACGTGGTGTGACAAAATGCTCTCTGTTGTGAAGATCTCTGTGTCCATGTTCTTTGGCCCATTTATGACATTCAGTTAGTAGATGGCTGGCTTAGTTCCAAGGGAAAGCAGTTCCTCAATCTTCCTCCTCAAATCACTGGAAATATTGTTGAAATGTGCATCTTTTGTGTCCGAAGGATCATGCCCATCATGCTTATCATATGTACGCTGCACGATGACTGTGTGGTCTTTCCAACATTTGAGTACTTTAAATGAAACATAGGCCTTACAGCCCACTGCTCTGTAGCTGTTTCGACTTTTTTCCCAGCTCTGATGCAGTTGAATTTGTAATAGTCTCTTTTCCTGTCTTTACCTGAGGCAACATTTAAACATTTATAATGTCCATGAAGGGTTAATGAGTTCAATTTTTCTAACACAACACTGAATGGGTCCTCCTGGCATTGTGACACATGCACACAAAGTTGTGTGTCTTTTCCAGTTCTTTTTTTTTCGTCATTCAGAACACTTCTTCTAATTATGTCGTCCATTTCTGGTGGAAAAATAACGAAGGTTTAATTAGTCAATATTCATTAATTCATTTTAACTTGTTTTGGTTTTTTTTGCAATACAATGTAAATATTAAATATAATATTAAAAAATATATATATATAAAATAATATAAAACAAACAGGGGCTAAAAGAAGCTAAACTTTCATATGGTATGTCTCTGGCAACTTTAACATGATGTCCCAGGGACAACATCTACACGATGTCCCAGGGCAACTTCTACATGATGTTCCAGGGACAACATTTACGCGATGTCCCAGGGACAACATTTACGCGATGTCCCAGGGACGACATTTACGCGATGTCCCAGGGACGACATTTACACGATGTCCCAGGGACGACATTTACGCGATGTCCCAGGGACGACATTTACGCGATGTCCCAGGAACGACATTTACGCGATGTCCCAGGAACGACATTTACGCGATGTCCCAGGGACGACATTTACGCGATGTCCCAGGGACGACATTTACGAGATGTCCCAGGGACGACATTTACGCGATGTCCCAGGGACGACATTTACGCGATGTCCCAGGGACGACATTTACGCGATGTCCCAGGGACGACATTTACACGATGTCCCAGGAACGACATTTACGAGATGTCCCTGGGACGACATTTACGCGATGTCCCAGGAACGACATTTACGCGATGTCCCAGGGACGACATTTACGCGATGTCCCAGGAACGACATTTACGAGATGTCCCTGGGACGACATTTACGCGATGTCCCAGGGACGACATTTACGCGATGTCCCAGGGACGACACTTACGAGATGTCCCAGGGACGACATTTACGCGATGTCCCAGGGACGACATTTACGCGATGTCCCAGGGACAACATTTACGCGATGTCCCAGGGACAACATTTACACGATGTCCCAGGAACGACATTTACGCGATGTCCCAGGGACGACATTTACGCGATGTCCCAGGGACGACATTTACGCGATGTCCCAGGGACGACATTTACGCGATGTCCCAGGGACGACATTTACGCGATGTCCCAGGGACAACATTTACGCGATGTCCCAGGGACAACATTTACACGATGTCCCAGGGACAAATTTGTAAATTTCTGGATTACTGTTAATCTCCATAGAATCAAGAACTCATGTCCAGTTTCACAGCTATGGACCAGTTAATTATGTTTCCAGGTGATAGTTTGATTCATAGATTCAGCACACAACCATTAGTCTAGGCCTTTTAGTTCAAATTCTCTTGACTTATGTTTGCCTGACCCAACCCCCGGGCCACGAAACACCAAAAAAGTATGGGAACGCTGGTCTAGAGAACACTGGTTAGCTAATGCTGTCGTCAAGTATCACTAGCAAACAAACAGCAAGCCAAGTGAGAAACATATGTATAATGCTTACCGTTTATTAAAGAAAAGTATCCTAAAAGGACTTCAAATTCGGCGGACAGGCGGCGGTTTCTCGCAAGTGAAGCGGGCGCGCTGGATTGACAGACAGAGGCGGGTATTTCGAAGTCGCAGAAGTATGACGTCACAAGAAGGTGATTGGTCACTTGCAATGTTGAACCTGGAACAACATTAATTATGATGATGTGGAAACAATGGCAACACAAGGATATCAGATCGTCCGGGTTGCAGTTGCTGTTGCAGGCCTTGCAGTTAGAAGAGTAGTTTGTCTTCTACTGGATGATTTAGCAGCCACTGATCTACCAACACGTGTCTTCACCCAAGTAGGTAGACACGTGTTGGCAGGTTTATTTGAACAGTGAGAGACAGAACAATAACCAAAAAAATCCAGAAAAATGCATTTAGAAAAAGTTATAAATTAATTTCCATTTGAAACAAGTATTTGAGCCTTTTAATATTAGTTATTTATTTATTTATTTTCTCTGACTATTTCATGATTTCTGGAGGGCAGTGCTTAACTAGCACATGCTACAGTTTTCTCTGTTCACAGGCCACACGTATGTATATCCTACTTGCAGTTCTGCATGTACATCCTGCTGCTTCGTTTCGATGAAGAAGCAATTCAACAGATACCCGTGATCCTAATTCTCTAACAGGACTCAACCAGCTACATTTAATGCTAGAGTTTCAACTGACTCTAGAACACTATTCATGCTAATCCATTTTCATTAGTAAATCTGGCCCATTTTTCTTGCTGATCTCTTGATGGTAGGTGATGCTACTATCTGTGCATTGAACAGGGAAGCTCTTTTCTAAAGAAATGATTAGGCAGTGGCCTATATATTTGTTGATCGCTTCAATGAACATAACCTTCCACATATTAGTAGTCTATATGCATTCAACATATAGTGATTTAAACATAAACAATGACAACTTGTACTATATGCTTGACGTAGCTCACTAATTCATAAATTTAACTCGGCATCACACTCTTCTAGACCTGAAGTTACCTCACTAAGCCTCAAATTCAGCCTCATAGTTCAGGTTTGTAGAGCACAGAAATAACTGATTAACAGACTAGATAACACAAGGAGAGGTAACAGAAGATGTGAGACAGTGCTGTGTACAGCAACAGCAAATATAAAGACCTGGAGAGAAGTGGAGCCGCTGTTTCAATATTGCAAGTGGTTGAAAGGTGTGCCAGCCAGAGAGCCAGCTGAGTGGGTAAGCAGCCATGCTGCCAGGGAATCCACAGAGAGAGAAAGAGTGGCTGGACAGCTCTGACGGCCACAACACAATAAATGATTGGCTCCTGAGTAAACAAGTAACATTCTTGAAACTATCCA